CTCCAAATAAAAATCTCCCGACTTACCAGTCTAGCCCCAAAGATTTATATAATAAAAAATGACAAAAAATGAGTCTCAATCTCATACAAACTCAATCATTAAATCAAACCTTAACCAGGTGCCTTGCTAAAACTACAACAGATACCATGATTATCCTTTAACTAAAACATAGCATCCATCTGTATGATAGAACCTAAATTACTTAAATTGGTTCTTTGATCATAGAAATAAAAAAGTAAAGAGTAATTTGCAAGCATAGTTTCTTGAACTCTGATATTTAGTTATTCTAATTAGTTAAAAATCAGGAAATTGTATTGTTGTGTTGTTTGAAAATATCAGTTGCTTTTACTTCTTCTTAAGGAAGATCAACATGTCAACATGGTGTGACTACCCATTCTCACAAAGCCTTTTTGTATCATTATGTAGTAACAAGTAATTTCAAATAGACCCATTACATTGCCTACATTTTACACATAGACATATGCCAGGAATTCCTCTTCACTTGTAACCAACATTGAACTACTACTCCATTACACAATACCACATTATGTGACTGCCAATTTTCATGTCACATAGTTACGATAAAAATATATTTTAAGATGGAAAGAATTTTTATATTGGACACTATCAAAGAATAGTTTTAAGAAACAAGCTTTGAAAACACAAGAGCATCGGTCATGTTAATTGTATATAGATATTTCTTGAAGGACAATAGAAGGATGGTCACAGTTGCCCTGTTTACAACAAACCAGATTCTTGATTGATTGTTAACATTTAACTAGGAACTCTTTTTTTCAGTTTTTTTACAAGTCTGATTTTATTTTTTCTTCTTCTACGATATTTCAGGTCGAGCATATGGTAATCTGGGCCTATCCCATGAGTCTTTGGGAGAATATACAAAGGCAATTAAATACCAGGAACAGCATTTGAGTATTGCTGCACAAATGAATGACAGGGTCGCAAAAACACTGGCGTATAGTAGTTTAGGTATATACATGTATATGAATTAAATGTACGGTATTACTTGTTGACACTTTTCTTCAGATGCGATCAGACATTTATTTGTATATTTAAGGCTTCTATGTCAAGCTCACTTCGAAGTTTATGCAATAAAAATAAATAAAGAATTTTCATCCTAGGTGTGCCAATATTCTCGGTTTCTGCAAAATGATTTATGCATGTTACCTTTTTCAAGGAACTCCATTGAAGTTTTTTTGATATGATGGGACTGGAAATAATTTTTGTTACATTAATGTTTCATTTGATGTAGGTCTAGACCAATAACCATGATAACTAGTGTGCAAAATTTCAGATCATTTCCAGAAAATTTATTCTAATCTTATTAATTCTAAGTCATTACAAAAACAACAATACTAGATATCATAATAAATTTTCATACAGCATATTATGATTAATTGTCTTGTACGGCATAATTATTGATATTAAAAAAAATAAATTTCAGGGCGAGTGCATCATGCTTTAAACAATCACAAGAAAGCTGTTGAATATCTCCGTCAAGGATTACAAATCGCCGAGCAGCTGGGTCGCATGGAGGATGAGGCAAAGATACGTCACCGTCTGGGTCTCGCACTCTGGGGTAACAACGACCACGAGGAGTGCCAGCAACAATTGTATAAAGCCTCGGAACTGTTTGAAAGTATTCGCCGCGATGCCCAGTTTAACAGTGAATACAAGTTGTCGTTGTTTGACCTTCAGACTGCCTGTTACCAAGCATTACAGGTAAAATATGTTTGCAACTGGAAAGAACGTCATTTATATCCAAATTTTAAATGCTTTTTGAAAATATTGTTTTTGTATAGAGTATTATGAAAGCATTTTATTGGTTGATCTTCGACACTAAGAATTGCACTTTCTAAATATAGAGCTCTACTTTTATACCATACATATTATACATTGTGGGGTTTAATTTTATTACGTAAAGTCTTCAATATTTTCTAATGCTGACAGACCATGGCCGGAAAACCATACCCTAGTTAGTTAGTGCCAAAAGATATCATGAAACCCATTTTGCTAGGATCTTTAAAAATGCCCTGTCAAAGTTCAGTTAAGCTAAGTTTTTTTATAGAATGGGGAAGAGTTTTTTTTTGTTCTAGCTTTGAAACTACTTTTATTCTTACAAAATATCGTGTAACACCAAAACATTTGACATACTTAGAAGACGGATAATAATACACTGGATTGTGTATGTTTTTTTTTCCTCAAAAAAAAAAAAATGAAAGATATTTATGTTAATTTATTGCATTAAAATGAGATACTATAGTCATTTTTTTAGGTAAATGACCCAGTCTATTCTTCTTTCTGATTTTAAAACGACCATAAAAAAAAGAGTCAGATTCAAATTACTGCGCAAGATGAAAGAAATGCGATATTGTGTTGTCCCAGTCATCAACTTACATAAAATATTCGTACAATTGTTCTTCTTACATAGATTTATAGCTTTGTAAACACCTAGTGTGCCCTAATTTCATTTTACATATTTTTTACTGGTTACCTAAGACAGTTTGCAAGATAAATTTCGTATTTTTTTTTCTTTGTCGTAAAATTTGTAAAATACTTTATTTTGCATTTTTTCTTTGTGCTTGACATAACGCCAGAATTTGATACTGTACATATTTTTTAATGTGTTTTATTATTTTACGCTTGAGACTAGTGATATAGGTGCGGTTATATAACACCCTTCGTTATATATCTAATACCTGCTGAGGTCTTTTGAAAATAATAGCCGATTGTCTCGCGGTTATAGTCGAATTAACGTAAAAAAATTGTTGCCTATACAATAACACAATAACAGATACTGTAACAATAACCTTGTTTGCCTTGTGCGCTTGTTTTTAGAATTTGATCTTAAATTGTTCAGTATGATAATGGTTTTCCTTTGGCATTTATTGTTATTAAATTTTGGTAAAGCATTTTGTAAATTGCTAAAGATACTGTAAAGTTGACTTTTATACGGTAAATATGACAGGTTGTAGCTTGCCTGTTAACCCTTTAATCTGACAAATTTCCCAAAAAGGACTTGTCCAGCTTCTATTTCTTAAACAGTCCAATTATTATTACTAAGTTTTTGGGTAATAATCAAAATGAAAATATAAATTGGGTCAGCCATCATTTTAATACCTGGTCAAACTGCAAAGGTGTGCTCTACCAGTTTCAGCAGGTTAGGGATTGGTAGTTCTACTTGTGCCCACTTGTGCCTGAAATAATGGACTGCAGCGATCTTTCTTTATCAATAAACCTGAAAATGTGCCACATGACCTTTTCGACATAAAAAGAAAAAAAAATTTGCTTGGCTTGGGTGAATATTGTTCGTTTAAATGAAGGCTAAAAATAAAGATGTATGCATTTAATCAAATACCTATTGAGCTCTGTTTTGCCATTTAAGCCTTCTAGGTATATTGTCATTTTTAAAAGAACATGTTAGTTCACCATGTCATATACTTGACACTAGATAGTAATTAAGTTAGATGCAGCAAAAAATATTCCGACATTCATTTCTGCATTATTGTAGACAAAACATGTATAGTAATTTAGGGAAATTTTGTAGCAATTTAAGACAAAACATTGCTTAAAATTAAAATATTTCCATTAAAATGGATTATAAATGTAATGGGTTACATTTTGTGACATATTTCTGACATTAATGTTGTTTAGATGGCCTTGTAATTTAGGGTAATTAACCTAACCAAGTTTAAGAAACATGATTTGATGTAATGGTTACAATAAGTTGATTTCTGAGGAAGTGCACAACAAAAAATGATGCTAAAATTCATGAGAAATGTTTCATTTAAGGTGTAACTGTAACATTAGATCTTCCTAAAGGCTGAATTAATACATATAGTAACATATATAAAATCAAAGCACGTGTTTTGAGTCGTTACTGGCTGAAAATGTGACCAGGGTGTTTATTATGGTTCTTTAGTGGTTAAAAATGTAACATGTTTGAAAAAAAGGGCATATAATTGTTGTTTTTTTTAATGGCTGAATATATTATTAGCATCTGAAATGTGGGCTTTTATTTTGGGTTTGTAAGGGCTGACTTTGTACAGCCTGTATGAAATAAGGGCACTCAATTTGGTTCTTAAGTTGATAAATGTACAGTATAAAAAACTTTGTAAACTGTCCATGCAAATTACAAGAGGTGTAAAGGTATTTATGTATGGCACTGTAAAACATCTAGCATAGAAATTTCCAGTCAAGTACTATCAAAGAAGTGTAACACATATTTTAAACATATTATTACAGAGGGTGCTTGTTACACTGGACAGACATCCCGAAGCTTTGGTTGTCGCCGAGAGGGCGTGTACACGTGCATTTATTGATTTATTGATGGAACGGCAAGCAGGAAGTGAAGGTTTCTATGGTAACCATGTGACTGATCCTCCACCAATCACAACAGACCAGATCCTCAGTATTGTACAGAAACAGAAAAGCATGGTTTTATATTTCTCGGTGGCGTCCGGTTTCCTCTACAGTTGGTTGTTGACACCAAGAGATGGTAAGTCAGATACCTTGCTTTGGATTAAGAACCAGTTTGAAGCAGTTACTGTATAAAACAAGTGCCTTTTCAATCATTTTACCAGTCGGCATTCTTGGATTTTGTACCCGTATTTATTAATTTGCATCTCAACAAGTAATTGCCAACTTCTCCACTATATGTACTGGAATGAGCAGTGGTCAATTAAATGACCCTTGGAATCATTTCTTTCGTTTCATTCTCATGCAAAAAATGATTGACCGCCGCCACCACCACCTTCACAACGCCACCACCTCCACACCACCACCACCGCCACCACCACAACCACCATCATACCACCACCACCACCACAGTCTTGGGTTTGAAACATGAAAACATAAGTGTTACTCTATCCGATATATCAATCCAATATATCAACCAATGTCAAAATTCTTTAAATTCTTTTTTTTTCTTTTAAATCTCCTCTCTTTTTTTCCAGGAATTTTATCCTTTTGTTGTGTGATATTATTTTGCATTGTCATCGGTTTTAATCAGAATTAAATTAGATAATGTAGAATTTTTATGAAAGGGAGAAAGTGTTTAATTTTAGCAGACAAAGATTAGTTAGCTGCTAATCTGAGACAATAGGGGTCTCATAGGCTACAGGTCTGCAGAAAAAACAGACAGTTATTGCACAAACTAAATTGTTTTAATTAGTTTTTCAATTCTGTTTACCAGAGCAAAGTCAAGAAATTCCATTTTCTTAAGTGTGGTAATTCTATTTTCGGTGACAATATTTTGGGTGACAGACTTTCTAACCCTGTTTTATTGATGTGCTACAGAATTTGTTACGATGCTTTTAAAATTAAGTTACAGAGATGCAATTACAGTGGTGAAAAATTTGAAGAAAGTTCTGTTTCACAAAATTCATGAAGGTTAAATTCTTTAGAAGGTTGCTGTAATAGTTATTTACAACTCCAATTAAATAACATTAGGTGTAATGTCATTTAATCCATTTTACTGATACTCATTGTGTAGTCATCATGCTTTGTAAGAAAACTTTGACATGATTTGCTCTATTTATAGCGTAAAACTGGGAAATTTGTTTCTATTTTTAGGTATTGTAAAGTTCCATGTGACCAGTATGACCGACATAGAAAGTGAAGTGGATGCGGGTGATAATATCAGTATGAAGTCCAGCGTCAGCTTCTCAGCGTGCTCGTTGCTTGACAACATGGTCGGGCAGATACGAGAGTCCATGGGTGTGGAGAGCCATGCTCCTAGTACACTAACAAGGTAACCTTTGACCTCAACACCTTGTTGCCATAGTTTCTGTAATTTTGTTTTGTTTAAGAGATAACAATGTTCATTTTAGAGATTATATTGAGATTAAATTCTAAAATTAAACAATTAAGAAGTGCATAGAATTTGATTGCATTGCACAAATCTGCAGGTTCCACTGACACATTATAATGGTGGCACTGCAAGTGTGGAGAAATAAGGGAAAAAAATCTGTAATAGAATTAATGCAATTATTACCAGAAGTGAATTACAGTTGTTCTGATTAATTGTCTGCAGTAACTAATAAAAGTTTTCTGTTGTAAAGAATAATTTTAATTGGAAAGGTTATATAAAGTATGGTTTAAAAAGAGCGTTAAAAAATGGAATATATATGTTAACATTTTATTTGAGACATACAAAGATGATGAAATGATGAAATTTACAAATCGACCGAAAATTTTCAATATGAAGAGATTTCCATGATTTTAGTATCTTGAAGTCAGTTGATATGATTTGGTTCAATTTTTACATTTTTAGAGCCACACCAAGGTCAGTTAGTATGGAGAATGACAGTACAAGTGACGTGGAGGATCATTGGGAGCAACAACTGGAGGAACTTGGCGATAAACTCAATGCCGAGAATGATCGTACAGGATTTCTCCGCATCGTGAACAGAAATCACTTGTATAATAGCAGTAACTACAGTCTCGGCAGCATGTTCAGTTTAAATATGAGTTTAAATGCATCGTTCCCCGGTGCGTCAGTCAGTCGGAAAAATAGTGTTCGCAGTAAATTTGGAAACAAGTCTGCGATATCCGCCCTTTATCAGCTTTTGATTGAACCTTTCGAAGAATCAATGAAAGAAATTACCGAGGAGGCGGGATCTAGTCCTTCGGATCTTATTTTAGTGTTACAAGGAGATTTGTTTCTTATTCCGTTCTCAGTGCTTAGGAAAGACCAAACAATGGAATATTTATACGAACGTTTTAATTTGATTGTTGTGCCGTCATTGACTTCACTGCAGAATACTAATAAGCATGATAAACATGGCCGCCCTGTGATAGATTCGTCTGGTGCAGTTGTCGTTGGCAACCCTAAATTGACACCTTCTATATGTCAGCATTGGCATTTACATGATATTCCGTCGTCTGAATATGAGGCGAGAATTGTCGGTGAAATTTTGACAGCGAGACCTCTCATTGGTCATGAAGCGACAAAAGGGGCGGTGCTTAATCAAATTGAACAAGTAGAAGTGATACATTTTGCAACACATATTTCATGGAAACTTTCGTCAGTGATATTATCACCAGGTGAGGTATCTTCGCACCCTCCAGCTAGATTCCCGACAATAGATTCTGATGATAGTGCTAGTGATATAAGTTCATTCGACGGACCATCTTTAGCGGAATACCTCTTAACAGCTGCAGATATACTCAACCTTAAACTTCATGCCAAACTTGTCATTCTCAGTTCCGGCTATACAGACGACAGAGCAGGTCGTATAAACACAGACGGAGTGGTAGGACTAACTCGTTCACTTCTCTCCGCTGGCGCTCAATCGGTTCTGTATTGTCTATGGCCAGTGCCTGATCAGGCTTCAAAACTTCTCATGCGGACATTATACATAGGTTTGCAAGAAGGCAAATGTGTATCACAAGCCTTAACTTTTGCAATTAAGACAGTACAATCAACAAAACAATTTTCGCACCCGTCAAATTGGGGTGGTTGGGTTTTGATTGGTCAGGATGTAAAACTCAGTAGCAAGGTAGCACAGATGGGTCATGCAATATGTGAGCTCCTTCAGCATCCCAACCAGTGCCGAGAGGCCATGAGAGTTCTCCTACATTTGGTAAGTGAAAGAGGTTTTTGATTTGTAGAATGAAAGTATTTAAATTATAAACCAACAACCAAATAGCCCATTTTCAAAATCTACCAATTTCTACACTTCTCTCACAAAGTAAATGATATTGTCTGCCCATTAAGACAAACAACTGTTTTTGTAAAATGTTTTGTAGATGAAATTTAAACTATATAAAGTACATAAAAAACAAGACAATTTAAAAGTATATCTCTTGTCATAACATCCATAGCTATGTTGGGAGACAACTGTTGATTATATAATCTTCTGGTTTTTGCAGAATAAAGCTTTCAACTATTGCAAATCTTCCTGTAAAACTGGTCGCATAACTGTTTTGACATTTTACAACCGTACATATTTCAGATTGAGAAATCTCTCCAGCGAATACATCAGGGCTCTAAAAATTCAATGTACACCACTGCCCAGTCTATAGAGAACAAAGTAGGTGGTTTGAGTGGCTGGAAGGACCTGCTGCAGGCAGTTGGTTTCAGGTTTGAGCCCTCATTGAATGGCCTCCCACCAGCAGTGTTCTTTCCTCAGAGTGATCCTGGTGATAGACTAACTCAGGCTAGTGCCAGTCTACAAGCTTTATTAGGTAATATATTAGTTACTTTGTATATGAGGGACATCTGGGCCGAATGGTTAAGGTCGTTGACTTCAAATCACTTGCCCCTCACCGCTGTGGGTTCAAAGCCCGACAGGGACTTTGGATTCTTTCATGTGAGGAAGCTATCCAGCTAGCTTACGGAACATCAGTGGTTCTACTCAGGTGCCCGTTCCTGCCTGAAATAATGCATGGAAGGGCACTTGAGGTCTTCCTCCGCCAGTAAAGCTGGAATGTCGCCATATGACCTATTATGTGTTGGTGTGACGTAAAACCCAAATAAACAAAGAAACTTTGTATTTGACATTTTATTATATACATATAAATAAAATATTGATGAAATAAAATGCATATTTTCAGTTTCTGTATTTTCATTGTAAAAATCTATTTTTCACTTCAGTAAAACATATTTTCTGTATTTTCACTGGTGTCATTGCTAGAATTCAGCCAATACACAATAAAAAAATAAGCGTAAGACTTTCAAATTGTAAGAGAAAATTTTAATGTACATGTATATAATAAATAAAAAAATTAAGATTTATTTTCATCTTGTGGTATGAAAATTATCAAATTTCACTTGTGGCTACTACCACTCATGAAATATTTATTTAAATACTACTCAATGAAATTAAATCCTGTATTTATAGAAAAAAAACTTGAATATTTTATATAATATTCTCTCTATTGCAGTTTATATATTTTGAAGTTGTAATACAGTCATTGTTATTCCTATCAATTAATTTCATATCTTTTTTGCAATAATTAAACTGTTGATTTCTTATTGTCTTCAGAACTTGGTAAATATATTTCCTAAGGAAATTTCTTGACATTGTTTTGGAAAAAAAACATCAATTTATCAACAGCAACAACTTAACAGAAAACATTTTGAGATCAGTTGAAAAATGAGAAATAAATATAACAGTGTCTTCACATTTGTTATACTGCAGTCCTAGTTTCGCTATTTTATTCTAGCTATGAAAGAAACCATGAGAGAGAAAATGGCATTTCTCGAAGCTTGTACGTAATTTGATGAATAATTTTGTGATTTGTAACATGAAACATATTGAGGTTTGCTTTTTTATATTGGCAGGTCTTCCATCAGGGTCTTCACAAGCTCTCTCCAAATTCTTGCATAACTACGAGGCTGGGGAGGCTATCATCCGAGTTGTATGTATTATTTGGCTTATGTGTATTACCATATTGATCTCTAGTTCATGCAAAAACAAACATTTTCTGTGTTGTAAATGATAGAATTATGTCACCTGGTTCCATGATATTTAAAAACCAGACAAAGATATTTTGTTTGCTGATTGGTTGATTCAGATCAAATATTTGGAACTGACCAATGATAGGCTTCCACTTCTAGACTGGTCCCAAATTTATTGTTTTTCTTAAATGTTAATTTTGATTGATTTTATGTTAGGTCATTTTTTCCACTGAATTTCTTTTGGAATAATTTAGCTAGCTTTGACTAAAAGATGTAATATTTTGGTTCTAGATTCCTCAGGAACTCTTAAGTGCAATGTAAATTGAAATGATTACTATAATTTTTTTAAGGAATCAATGTGATAATAAGTAAACTATGTAAAAATCTAAAGAAATTTTATATTATAACTCTGTTTGATAATGATTAATCTGGATTTATACCATGCTTGATTAAATATGCTGTTACTATTTATAGATGAGAGACATATTAAGCAAGATGGCTGCCAAAGATTCCATCATGGATGTGAAAGTAAATGTTAAACTGTGGAGAGTGGCAGGATGTCACGAGTATCTTGCGTCCCTTAGTAAGTTTTTATCTCTTCATTATTGTTACTTGCATAGTATCATCACTTAATATTATGATTCAAGAATAACAATTTTATATAGCTTATTCAACCGTCCCTGTGTCAGCCCCGGGTCTTTCTATTTGAAAGACCTTGACCAACATTAAATGATATATGAAAGGGTATCCGAGGTTTTTCTTGCAAGTCTAAATGTGACCATTTCAGTCATTATGTTGCTGGAAATCTAACTGCTAGTGATAGGAAGAGAAAGAATTAATTTGATAGCATTTATTTTTAAAACTTTAAATGTAAGCAGCAGGATATTGACATTATTTTTATTGATGGCTATGGATAAATTACAGCCATTTTGCAAAGTGTGCATTGTTCTATCATGCTGACCATTTGTGTCTAAAATAGTGCTACTTTGTCTTAAATAGTGCTACTTGTGCAATTTATATCTAAAACAATGCCTCTTGTGCCTTAAATAGTGCAACTTGTGCCTAAAATAATCTCTGAACCACACACATTAACATGGGACTATAGCATCAATGTTAGTTTGTTTAAAAAGACTTAAAAAATACTTCCTCTATCAAGATCAATGTATGTTATTATTGATTATGAATTGAATTGTTTTTACATTTACGATTACTGCGCTGAATATAAAAAATGATGTTGTCAAGCTTTTATTTAGAACTAACAATTGTTAAGGAATGGGTCATAGCATTAAAAATTGAGATGGTAGATCTAAATCAGTTTATGCTATTGCAGGTATGGATCTTGTTGAAGTTGGAAATGATGAAGTTACGCTACGCCTTGGAAAGCAGGCCAATAAACGGCAGCTCCAGTTTGCTTTGCAGTCACTTGTTGCCGTATTTGGTAAGATAGTTTCTTTATCACTTACATCACTTACATTCTTATTCAATAAAGAAATTGTTAAAATTATTTAAACCAATGCAAGCTGAAGTCAAAGGGAGACAACAACGTAAGAATTCATTTCTATTTGTGACGTGTAGAAGTCAAAGAGAGACAATTTTTGCAAACCAGGTTGCCAAATTGGGGAACATTTTTTCTTGTAGATTAAAACAGGCGGCAGCAATGTTAACAGATCAATTAGATGTTATAAGTTGTCACATCTGTAGTTTACAGTAATCATGATATGATTATTCCATATCAGCGTCAAATGTATCACTTTTTAACTTTAAAAATGTTTCTTTTCTAGTAGATATGTTATTATTTGCTTTGTTTTTATTAGATATCCCAAGATAGTCACTGCTCCACTTAATCTGATGTCTAGTAGGATCGGTGGCGACCAACTATTCTATCTGCTCCAAGTGTAAGGCACTCCACAATATCTTAACTCCTCCGTTTGGTAAGAAGAAGTTCACTCTTCTTCAATCCAGTGAAATGGAGAAATATGAGTAATTAGGAATTACCAAGATGAAGTCAGGTATGTGACCATGATAAAAGGTCAAATATATCTGGAAAAATTAATAAACTATGTAAATAAAGATTGATTCTTTATTTCTGACTTTTTTCATTTTTATGTGTTCTTATAGCTGTTTGTATGTCATTTCTTTCGCCTTACTTAATTACTTTTTCATTCATGGAGTGATTTCTTAAAAAGAATATGAAAGGAATTAAAAAAAAAAAACAGAATGAAGTACTTTGAGTTTTATTGAAAGGGTTCACTGTTTAATTTATTTTCGAAGGAGATTTTTATAAATATTTTAAACTGGTGTGTTTCCTTCAAGACAATGTTGAAATATTTGTATTATTTATTACAGGGTGGTCTCACAGGACGGAAGGTAGGAGCGGGAAAATCAAACAGAGCAGGTACAACCGACCCAGCAACCTATCTTCAATATCAAAACCAGATTAAATACATGTACAGATCTGAAACACTTAGTCCTACGTATGGTAATGATGTATCTGTTGTTGCATTGAGCGACAGTGACACTACAGCAAGTCCAACGTTAGGCAGCAGCTCTGCTAGCGAGAAATTTCGGGATTTGAAAAATGCTGAATCATTTAATTTTAGTTTTGACGGAAGAAGTGAAAACAGTAGTATAAGCGATAAAAGTGAAACAAGAGGGCATAACAATAGTGACACTAAAAGTGCTCTGTCATCACTAAATGGTGATGATTTTGATGATACCTCTGCAGACAACGAAACTGTAATAATCCATGACGATAGTGATGGATCGTTTAAAAGAAATGGAGAAAATAGAAACTCAGATATATCTGACAATAGCAGTGTAAGTCAAGGTATACAGGCTGATAAAGATTTTGGTAAACAGGGTTCCGATATGTCGGATGTCAGTATGAGTGAAGGACGGTTGACTCCAAAAAATAGACAGGACTTAGAAAATTACTTACAAGTTACAGATGAATCTGGTATTGTTTCAGAAACCACATCATCCAATCATAGTGAAACATCTCAGCAAAGTGAGCATACTACAAGTTACAGGTTTGATCCATCTGAGATTGCTCAGAAAATAATGTCAGATGTTTCGGAACATAAAACTGCCCTGGACTCTATGCAGACCTTTAGCATGATGCAAGCACAGGCAGAGTCACACATCATGAGAACTGAATACCAAAAACAAACTCAGCAACTAAATGAAACGTCTAATGATACCAATTCAGCAGAAGTGATTGGAAACATGTCAAATGAACAAAACACAGTACAGTCAAAAATTGCAGGATTTTCAGGCAATACCCTAAGTCATTCAGCTTTTACTAGTCCTACTCACAAAAGTCGTCTGCCTCCACCTGTTGCTTCAAAGCCAACATTTCAATCAAATGCATCAGGGTTTCGTAATTTATCAGCAAATGTATCAAATTTATCGTCACAACCTGTAACTGAGCAGATGTCATTTTCTTCATCTATCGCACAGAAATCGAGTAATCAAGCTGTGTCTGCAACACCGGCGTCGAGCAACATCTTTACGACAACAGCTATAACAGTGAGTAAACAAGACAGTTTCTCCTCTAGTACAAGCGCCAGTACCACAATGTCATTCAGTTCATTTCGACCGTCTGGTAAACCAAGTCCCGCCGAATGTCTTACCAATGCCTCACAGCTTCGTCCCGATAGTACCACCAGCACAAGTAGTCATTGTTCTACACCGTCCTCTATGCAGTCTGTCATTTACCGACCATGTGGTGATAAGCGGATACCCGATTCTCCCTGCGTTGTATCTTACGACTCTTCAAGTGAACAAACTTCTGGTTCAGGATCAGCTAGCACAATCACACCAACTGTAAGCATGAATGAGACTTTAGATACTGCCCAGAACATCATGATCTCGAATTTGAAACGCGACTCATCACCTGCTCTTAGCTCCTGCTCATCAGCCTCAGGAAAAAGCGGGAAACAGAAAAAGAAAGTTAGCTTTTCTGATTCTGAGCCATCAGATACTCCGTCACCTTTAGACTCGAGTGCAAGTTCAAATCAGCTGTCATATTTCGATTTTAAAAAGTCCGGTTTCAGCAATATACCACCCCGAGCTGGTGGTATGCAACCTACTTTACAGTCTCAAAAGTCATACCAAAATTCATCCAACAGCTCATTAGATAGTGCTGGAAAGTTGGCAGGTAACTCTCAAAGACCACCACCACCTAGTTACCAGTATGCAATCAGAAACTCACAGATGCTTCAACAGAATAAATCAGCACAAGGGAAGCCAGGTGTGTTACAACAGTCACCAAGGCATAGTTACTCATCTAGCTCATCTCTCAATAATTCTTATGGATGAAGTTTTTTTTTTATGTTTTACTGCTTGTGTTGTTCGTTTTGTGTTTGTTTTTTTATGTTTTTCTCTTTATTCTTCTATCTTGTTGAGAGAGATTTGATAAATTGTGTGCACCATTTTTGCGCTATAGTTGAGTATTTAATCTTATATTGTTAAGTAATTATCGCGTTATATTTATACCCATTATGTTTGTTCAAAAAAAACAGTCATATCCCCGCCTCTTTACAAAATAGTAAACGATTATCATTTGTAAAAAAGGGCCAAATATAAGCGTATATTCGCCCTGTCCTGAAAGTATCTGACGTACCTGATAAGAATATTCAAAGAGATACAACAGTCTATTGACCTCCCAAATCAACTAGTAGCAATCATTTAGATAACCCACAATGACTAGATTGTTCTTATCAAAACTTTTTTACAATCGTTCAAGGCACGGATATATATATATACACATAACAGCCAAATAAAGAACTAAAATTGACCTGGATTTGTCTTTGTAAGCAAAATTTTGCCGCAAGAAACGAGTACACTATTTGAAACCTAATGTTGTCTCTAACACATTAATTCTCATATAATTAGAACAGGCATGCTACTTGACCTGTCTGTCTAGACATGTGATTGTTATCTATGACGGGAAAAGTGAAAACTTCAACTAGCAGCTATGCTCAAACAAAAATTGACTTATTAACATTTAACCCGGAATTATTCGACATGGTTCAACTGTATATTATATGTTGGGGAAAAGTCATTTCCGTTTGTATTGATTAAAAATATATATTATATTAATAATATAGTAGATTTTTGTATACTATACTACTGTATGCATAATAATCATATGATATATTATATAAAACTTGACATTATGTTGATAAATGCCTGTTTAAACATAATCGTGTGTGCATAACACAATTTTTTATTGTTTGATGTTATCGAAGATTAAAATGATAGTTTATCCAAAATTGTTGTGCAAAAAATCTGAAATCAAGCTATTGAAAGAATCGATCATTTTGAAAGTGCCTCACAGTAACTTAAGATCTATTTGTCAGTTGACCTATAAGTCATCATATATTTATTATTTGCAAAGTTTCTTATTTTTTACCAATAAATATAATTACCCAAAATAATTTATTTCTTTCTATGATGTAGGGTCAAAAGGGAATTGAGTTTTGTTCTATAAATGCATTGACTCTTGTTCTTAATAAGCAGATAGGTTTTGCAAAATATGATTAACGCCTAAACCAAATTTAAACAGAAAACGAATCGTAAACACCCGGCTGATTGTTGAATTTGCATGGATGTTTCCGGATACAAAACGTTTCGCAAATTCCAACATCCCAACAAATTTAGCAGCGCCTATAAATGGCATATTCCAAAAACGCATTACACACATTTGATATATCATCAACAGTGTATAAAGAAAACAACTATCTAGTTTTAACATAAGTACATTTATCATACGTCTACAAATATCGACCTGCTTGTATTAGCACTAACTGAATACTGCGTAATAATTTACTTTTCGTAAAAATCAAGTATCTGATAATAAAAATAATGCAAATACAAGTTTAATCCTATTGTTATCTTGTTGGCATAAACCACAAATCTCCCAGCATGAAAACATACCCATGTTGATCAGATTATTTTGAATTACCTCGTTTTTTATCTATCGTCCTGGAGCAATGCTGCCTATGCATGATTCGTTATTTCCATCAAGCTCTGAACTATATTATAACACATAAGTTGTTATCCAATTGTCTGATAAACAATTATATTTTTAAGTAATCATTCCAATCTTTCATCTGAATCAAGATATAATAGACATAAACTGAAACAATAAAATATACCTAAAGATACTATTTTTCAGAAATAATCCTTTACATTTCCAATTTATACAAATATATATTTGATATCATAGCCTATTTATATATCGTCAATAATGGAATTATTACTTATACCTTTATCTACAAAACAGATATTAAGATGCATGTTGAATCAATAGATCATTATGTATTATAAATATAAACATAGATAAGTAACATTTATAAACAATAAAAAAACTTGACGTAAAAACTAACAGAAATGTATTACTATTTTGGTGTCTTATTTCATTATAAAATGTGTGTTCGAAGATTCACTTCTTTGGAAATAAATTACCATGCATAATATAATTGCAGAAACGTATGCAACTCGTTGTAAACTAACTTAACATAATATTTGCCTACAGTTCAGTCTGAAATAATGCACGGAAGGGCATCTAAGGTCTTCCTCCACAAGTACAGCTGGAAAGTCGCTATATGACTTTTGCTGTGTCGGTGCTATATGAAACCAAAAAAATAATAAAACCAGCTCAGTCGTCTGCCGAACAATGGCAAATTGTAGTCGCACTTATATAAAACATGTGGTAATTTCAATCTGATATGTTATAACAAAACGAAAAATACATATTGTTTCACCAAATACGACTAAATGATTTGATATCATTTTAATACATGCCATAATACATTGATTTAATTTGCTGTAATCATTTGTACAATTAGCAGTCTCTTTCTCGCAGTCAAATATCTAACTTTTAGATTCATTTTTTTAAGTCAGTAAAATCTTTAAGATACGCCACAAATGACTAGGTTCTTCTTTTGTTCTTATTTACTGTTGCTCAAATTTACTGTCGTAACAATCATTCAAACTAGAGAAATATATACTTATCTTTCAAATGAAAAATGAGAGCTCATCTGTTTGTCTGTAACAAAGGGTTCGTCGTGAAATGAATAAATAAATCACTTGAAACTATTTGACGCACGATCAAAACGTTTTGCCCTCTCATTATTTCTTGTAGACCGCCATGTTAAATGATCTGTCTGTCGTACCATATAATTGTTGTTTTTGTGTTAAGAAAATTAGAATTACAAATTACAGACATTCAAAACATTGATCAGTATAATAGGCTTGAATTTGACAAGACAAAAACAGTGCATCACGGAGAAGAAAAAATACTATGATTTATTTATATACACAACAGATTCATTTTCAATAAAGCATGATTAGGTTTTTTTTTTAAATTGATAAGAACAATTGAGCAATAACACTGACTTTCAATTGTATTTAGGTGCATTTTTATATTTAAAATACACGATAGGAAGTGAAAATCGATTGACTCGAAAAATGTGTTTCCAACATAACTTTACCATAAGTCAGTACAATACATTTATTTAGAAATATGTGCATTTGGGATCTTTTAACCTTTAGACATTCTTCGCCTCTGATATTTCAAGAAACTGGTTCATTTAGAAAGGAGATATGAGGGTACAGTTGATGTACTACATGTTTTATGTTTGCCTATTCACCAGTTTCATTTTGATATGTTTGTGTAGTGATAATTTCTATTTGAAAAACATTTAAATACGTTTCAGTGTCATAATGATTTCGGAACAACATTTAATGTCTAATTAAATATATTAAAATATTTTGCACATATTTTTCTATATCATTGTTTCACTGAGTATGCAAAATAAAGCCTTTCATTTATAGAATGTCCTGAACAATACATGTTTATATATAAATGGTTTTCAAAACAAAGTAAATGTGTTTTGATAAGGTATCACTTACTGTGATTTGCGACAGACTTGAAATTCAAACGAACATTGCATCTTTATACGGAAAAGCAGTGTTTAGTAGAATATTACGACAAATAATTACTATTATAACAAAATGTTTAACCATTGTCTTACTATTATAAAGAGAGATAGGTTTTAGAGTGCAAATAATTTATTATCATATTTTAACTGTACCATGTTAAATAAGTGTTGAATATCTGAAAATCGCTCATTCATGCATTATTATATGTAAACTAAATAATATTCTTCCAGCAAATCTAATTCTAGTGCAAAGTATGTAAGCAAAGTAATAAACCTGTCTTGAATAACATTTACAGTAATATATGTTATTGGCCTATCTTGCAAATTGTATTTTTTAAATCATAAATGTTGTTACTGTCTGTACAAGTTCATAATTATCATGAAACTGCCTAACTAATTGTTGGAAATATTGCATGAAATGAAGTTGAGCAATTTCCTTTATTAAAATGATATACATGTATGTGTCAGGTAATAACCATCAAATATTTCTTTTGTTACCTGGTAAATTATTATTCCTACCATTGTAAATCTACAACACGTATATCCATTGTGCTTAATTATAAAGTCTCGCACATCGATTCAATTTAGGAAGCCATCGATTTTTTAGGTATAAAACTTGTAATTTATAACAAATGTTCCAATGTTATCAGTCTTAAAGAGTGTATCAATTGAATTCAGACAATTATACATGTACATGTATCGTATCTATCTGCATGTTACTAGAAAAATAACATGTACTGCACAAATTGTATTATAGCATTTATATACTTGTCATGAATATATAAGTATGTATCATACATGACAATCTTATATTTGCTTTTATAATTATTCGGCAAGTTTCTATGTTCAATCAATGTTCTATGTATTGTATGTATTCGATATTGTTGATGAAATATAACTTTGTATGTTATTGATACCACGCGCATGTCCTGATAAAATTGATAACATTTCTCAAATTTACATTGCTCATATTTGTTAAATTGGTAGTAGAGTAATGGTGTTTGCGCATAGTTACCATGCTTTTGTGAAGAGTCAAATAACATAGTTTGTTAATATTATAGTACATTACTTTATAGAAAAAGGTATTTAGCCTTGATTATTATTACACTATATCGTTTAGTATATGCGCTTACTTGCAGAAGTTCTCAGACATTAGAAAAAAATACTGTTATCAAAATGAAATAAAAAGGGAATGAACTTTTAGTTTTTTAAGAAATTAAGACAATATTAACAATACGTGTATATGTGTTTTATAGGAACACCAGACTCTAATGAGCGTGTGTATTCAATATATTCCAGTTTTTCATTTTTCTTTTATGTTCTTTTATAATACTTGTACTATTGACGTTAATTTATCAAATAAATCAAAGG